AAGCTGTTCCTCAGTCTAGTGGTTCTACACTTAATGCTCCTTAACATAATAATAATAATAATAATAATAATAATAATAATAATAATAATAATAATAACAATAATAATAATAATAATAAATATAATATATAAAAAATAAAAAAAACAATTCCCTGTTTTTGTTGACAGCCAGGCTCAGGGTTCTGGGTTTACCAGGATAAAGCTGGAACCTCTTCATCAGGCCAGTGTGTGTGCGCGCATGCGTGTGTGTGTTTGTGTGTGTTTGTGTGTGTTTGTGTGTGTTTGTGTGTTTAGGGATCAGGGTTAGAGGGAGATTAACCGAACAGGCCTATAAAGCTGAGTAATCCACACACACATTCAGAGCATCGACTTCAGCAGCAGCAGCGCCTGGACCTGGTTCTGAGTCACAAGAACCAAACTGAACCCAGATTTGATTCAACACGAGGAGCAGGAACCTGCCGGCTTTTCTCAGCATCCGCAGAACAAGAGAGGACAAAAAAACAGGAAAACATCATGAAAAAGTCAAAGGTATGGTTCGACTGCAGGTGTTTGTTCTGCAGAATGAGGCCCCGTCAGGTTTTCTGCTGTTTTCAACTAAAGAACATGTTTAAGTTTCAGCTTCTAAAGCTTAACTTTAAACTAATTTAAAGAGTTAAATGTTCCTTCTGTCTCTTGTTGTGATCCAGCAGGTGAGCAATGACAATGAGCCTCCCACCTACCAGGAGGCCACAGCAGGTGAGGAGAAGCTCCTTCCCTACCTGAACGCATGATTTTACTTGAGCTCGTTTCTAAAACACTGATCTGTGGCTGATTCTACTTTAGTTTCTATTTTTAACAAACAGGACGGTAGAGGCATTCAAACCTCAATACTGGCAGAACATAAAGTTGTGAATCTTGTTTGTTTCTTCAAGGTTATGAAGAGATGGAGGCTCAGTTCGCCTGGGACGACAAGACCATCAGGAGGACGTTCATCAGGAAGGTGACAGAAAGCAGATTTAACCCAACAAGCAGCCTTTTCTGTCAAAACACTCTGAATGCACTTTGATAAGTTGACATCGAGTTGGCAAAGCTAAAAGAAGCAGAACACTGGCTAAAAACAACAAATATGTAGCTAAAGCCTGGCTAAAAGAAGCAAAAGACAAGAAGAGCAAAATGCTAGTTAATGTTAAAACAACTGAAAGGTTAAAAGTAGCAAAGAGTTTGCTAAATGCAACAAAAGATTAGCTAAAAGGGTAAGCTAAATAGGCCAGCTTAAAAGCTAAAAATAATAACAAAAAATGTTCTGGTGAAAGCTTAAAGTAGCAAAAGGCTAATTAAAAGCCGAAGGTATCAAAATGCTAGTTATATTTAAAACAACCTCAAGACTAAAAGAATCAAAAGACCAGCTAGAAGGAAAAAGTAACAAAAAGGATGTTTAAAGCCAAAAGTAGCAAAATGCTAGCTTGATGCAAAAGGTTAGCAAAAGTTTAAATTAGCAAAATGCTAGCTAAACTCAAACATTAGAAATGGGTAGCTAACAGTTAAAAGTCAATAGAGCAGTTAAAAGCTTAAGTAAAAGAAGATTAGCTAATGTAGCAAAATGCTAGCTGAAATAACAAATGATTAGCTTGTAGATAAAAGTGACAAAAGGCTGGATAAAAGCTAAAAGTAGCAAAAAAAAAATTTAAAGCTAAAAGTAGCTAAAAAACAGAACAGCATAACAGTAGCTAAAAACTAAAAGTGGCAAAATGCTAGTTTAAAGTAGCAGAATGGAAAGTAAAAGCTAAAAGTAGCAAAAAAGATAAAAAAATAAAGTTCAGTGAAGCAGATTTAAAAAAGAACACTGTTTTAGAAGAAACTAGATCTCAGTTTATTTATATCTGATTACATTTGTGAATAAAGAAAAAAATATTTAAAGAAGTAAAAAATGTTAAAAACTAAATTCGCAGCACCTATCCCCTGAATGAGTTCAAGGATTGTACAAGAGTAGCTAAAATGTGGCTAAAAGTTGCTGAAGTAGTCAGCTGAAATAAATAAATAAAACGTATGAAGGCTCCAACAGCATCAAACTCTTCATGGCGCTCCTCCTCCTGCAGGTTTATGCCATCCTCATGCTCCAGCTCTCTGTGACCGTAGGAATCGTTTGTCTCTTCACATTTTGGTAAATCGCTCGTTCTTTTCTTCCTCATCTTCAGCTCTTTGAGCTCTTTGACTTTTGATGGACAGCTCGATAATAAATCTTTGCTGTGGCTGCTTCGTTTGCAGCGCTCCTGTGAGGTTTTATATTCAGACTCATCCCGGCTTGTACTCGGCCTCTTAGTAAGTGACAGCACATCGTTCCTCCTCTCTGCTCGTGGTTTTTCGTCTGTTCTCATCCGTCTGTTGCTCCTTTAGCCTCATGTTTTTTGGCACCTACATCGCTCTGTCCTGCTGTGGAGACCTCAGGTAAACCCTTCAGGTAAACCAGCAGCTTTCTTTATTTAAATGTGAAATAAATGTGTTTTCCCTTCACACAGGAGGCAGTTTCCCTGGAATATCGTCCTCTTAGTTATTTTTGTGAGTATTCTGCAGTTTATTACAGAAACTGGGTTATTTGTGTGACTATAAAACTAATTGTTTGATTTTTTCCTCACAGACTTTGAGCATGGCCTTTATGATGGGGTTTCTGTCGAGGTAAAGGATGGAGATGCATATGTGGATCTGTGTGACACGCCGCCCTTCAGCTCTTTAATGCAAATGTTTGTGCAGCTTTTACAACACCAGGTCGGTGCTGCTCTGTCTGGGAATCACAGCTCTGGTGTGTCTCTCCGTCACCATCTTCAGCTTCCAGAGCAAGGTGAAACAAACAACTCGTTTTGAAACAACACGAGGATAGAAACAACGTGCAACAGCTATAAATCTCCTGTTGCAGATTGACGTCACATCCTGCCAGGGTGTCCTGTTCTCCATGTGCATGGTCATGCTCCTCTGCGCCATTACCCTCTCCATCGTCGTCCCTTTTGGATATGTGAGTTGCTTCCCTCTTCTCTTGGCTCCAGGGCCGTCCAGGGCCTTCCAGAAGGTTAACTGAGGGTGACGATGAGCTAAGCAGGAGTTTATGCTGCAGGCTGTGCTCAGGAGAGGCTAAATCTGCTGCAGATAATCTCACGCTGCTCTATCATGCCTAAATTAGCACGCTCTTCTTCTTAACAGTGTTTTGTAATCAGTTTTCCTCTGCAGGTTCCCTGGTTACATGCCATCTATTCGGTGATAGGAGCCATCCTCTTCACTCTGGTAGGAGTGACCTATCTGTTATTGTTTATATACGGTCTACCAGGTCTTAAAATATTCAAAAATAACCTCACATTTTCAAAAATAAATTTGAAAAGCTTTGTGGGAATAACTAAGTCTGCCCTCGTTACTTCTATAGGATTTAAGAGGCTCAGAATCAGCCAGGTGCTGCTGATCAGATGAACTCATTAACTGAACATCATCACTGTGAACATCTCTGCAAAACTAGTAGTTTTGTCTGTTTGCTGCTCTGAAGCACACAGGTGTGTGCTAACACAATGCCAAGAAGGAAAGACATAAGCAAGAATCTTAGCGAAGCAGCGAGAGCCGCCCGTCAATCTGGGAAAATGTTAGAAGGCCGAACAAGTTCAGCTCGTCTGGTTGCGAGAGAAAGATTTGGAAAGTTGCATTGAAACAAGACTTCTGGAACAATGTCCCATGAACTGATGAGACCAAAGTAGTGATGTTTGCCCATAATCAGGGCTTAATTTGAGCCAGATCCTGCCGGAACAAGGTCCGGGTTTGCTTGGATTCATTAACTCTCAGGCTTATTAATTAATAAAGTTATCAACAAATTTGACTGTGCAATCTGAAAATAATTACATAAACACCAATTTTAAACATAACAGCCACTTACGAGCTTCCTAATATCACAAGAGAGTTGCTCCTTCAAGTGAACGTTTCTGCTTCTATCCTTCAAAAATCTCCGCCCCCTAAAAGTACAGTCATGAGCACTTTAATTAAAAGCACATAATTAAACAGCACAACTAAATTGCAAATCAGTTTTACAGTTTAAGTGGGTCATTAATAAAATTATTTGTTGAAAATACGAAATATTTGATGGGTAGTAACGTTACATACGTCACGCATCAAAACAATGGCGCAGATTTGTCAAAATATCAGTGAAACCCCCCACTCCCATTTGCGTTCCAGCAGTGTTTGGTTTATAAATTAAGCACTACCCATAATGCACTGTGCCATGACTGGTAAAAGCATAATCAGCACAAACATCTCATGTCACCTGTCAAACACAGTGGTGGAGGGGTGATGGTTTGGGCTTGTTTTTCAACCACAGGAGCCGGACACCTTGCAGTCATCGGGTCGATCATGAACAAAAGGGTTAGCGCAGGGCTATTCAACTAAACTGCTCAGGGGGTCCCAGTTACCGAAAGCCAGCAGCTCAGGGCGGGGCATCCAGGAATTAAGAGTCATTATGTAAATAAACAAAGTGTTACAATTATCTGTTACATTTTAAATATGTTTATTTTGTTGCATTGAATCATAAATACAATAGAATCCAAACCCAGAAGCCAAAAAAGAAGAAGAAGAAGAAGAAGAAGAAAGAAGTCGGTGGTGGGCTGGACAGAAGTCACCCGCGGGCCACATCCGGCCCACGGGCCACCACTTGAATAGCCCTAGTTTAGAATCTGACAGCTGAAGCTTTGTCCAAACTGGGACTGAAGACTGGTCCCAAACACGGCAGCAAATCTACAACAGAACGTCTGAAAAGGAAAATAAAAACGTTGCGATGGTTTAGAAGTCAGTTTGATTGAAATGCTGTGGTGGGATCTTAAACTGCAGAAACCGAGGCCCACAAGCCTTAATAACCTGCAGCAATGTTGTAAAGAAGAGTGGGTTAACATTCCTGCACAGTGTTGTGAGGACGTCATACAGAAAACTAGTTGGAGTTCTTGAATGATGGGTTGGACTAGCTCTTCGATGGGATTTTTTTTTTTACACCTGACGTTAGACTTGAATAATTTTAGAACCTGGTGAAGACCAGATCATTCTGATTAGGTAAAACCCTGAAACTGAAAGCAGGTGGACTTTTGTTTTTCACACGCCTGTAAGTCTTTTTGCAGCTCAGCCCCTGATTTTGTTTCCCCTCTTCCCACAGTTCTTGGCTTTCGACACCCAGCTGCTCGTGGGGAACAAGCGCTACACAATAAGTCCAGAGGAATATATCTTTGCCACGCTCTGCCTCTACCTGGATGTCATCTACCTGTTCAGCTTCCTGCTTCAGCTCACGGGACAAGGACGAGACTGAAGTCGACACGCTGTTTGAAAACTCGGCCTGGAGTCGTTTGGCTCCGGCGCAAGAAGACGTCAGAGCGGATGGGTTTTAAACACGACTCTTATCCCAATTTTACAATCGCTCTCCATCCTACACTTTTGAGTTTAAACGGACATAAAATCAAAGCTTCCTCAGCTTCATGTTCTGCTCATCCATCGCCGAGCCAACAGCTGAGAATCTGCACGTTCACGCTCAACGGGCTTGAGTTTGTTCATGCACCTGCTTTGCAACAACTGTTTTACGTTCCGTGTGTTTCTGTGTAGCTGCTGTATGTGCGTAAGATTATTTCTAAATGAATGATGAGAAATTTAAGGGAAACATTTTATCAAGAAAACTTTAAATAGCATATTTTAGCTGATTACAAGTAAACACCAGCTGAAAAGGGAATATAAACGTGTTTTTTTTGGGTGATTAGGGGTTTATTTTAACGTGAACTGACTGTGGCCTTGTAGATTTATTTGTTTGGATTATGTCTGCGCATTAGAAAGGTTCTATGTGCTGAAAAAAAAAAAAATCACAGTATATTTATATTTTAACTGAATTATAAAATGTTTTATTTGGAAAATGGTAAAAGCTGCTGTTTTAAAAAAGTACATTTGTTTTACTGAAGTCTGAACGATCAGATATAATTAAATATGAATGAACATCTCTTTTGGCGCTGCTTTCTTTACGGGTCGCCACAGTGGATCACCTGCCTCCATCTCATCCAGAACCTCGTCTCCTTCCATCCATGAACCTTCGTCTTTTCCTTCCAGCTCCAGACTGAACATCATTTCACTATATTCACTAAGCTCCTCTGAGCACGTCCAAACCATCTCCACCTCAGGTGTGCACTCATTTCTAACCCTGTCCCTTCCAGTTTCACCACCTGTCTGTAAAGCACCAAGTTCCCAAATCTTTCATCTACCATCATATTTGCTCTTCTCCTACCACTCATCTTTATTCATCACTTCTTTTGTGCATCAGCATTGATTTGGATGGTTCACCCCTGGTACCTAAACCCATTTTATTACTTCACCCTTCCACCAGCCTCCCTCACATTCACACACACATTCCATCCCAGTTCTTCTGTTTTTCATTATTTTCCCCTCCAGGGCAAATCTCCACCTGCTCCCTACTCTCACTACAGATCAGTATCACCTGCACTCATCATAGGCCAAGGAGGCTCCTGCCTGATCACATCTGTCCATCACCACTGCAAACAAGTAGGCGCTGTGTAATGTGACCTTCACTGCACACCTCACTGCTGATTCTAATGTTTATTCATTTGTGTAAAATTCGATGACTGTTGACATTTGAAACAAGAACAAGTAAACCATCACAGCCAGCTTGTCCTATGTGAAAGAAGAAAATGATTTTCTCTACTATTGGTATGCAGAAAAAGCTTAAACGGATATTTCATTACCTAGAACAAGAAAATAAATGAATAATAATCCTAATCATACACAAACTGTCTCCCTGGAAAAGTGAAGAGGTGAAGCAAACTTGCAATGAGGTGATTTAGTTTAGGCTCAATTCAAGACTCAACAGTGGAAGTACCTGTTCCATGCCTGGTTTTGGTCACTAGAGGGCGCCATATTTCCACACCTGCAGACAATGTGTCCTGATGAGGCTCCAGTCATGCAGTGCTCCCTCGTTTATCGTGGGGGATCCGTACCCTGAAGACCCGTGATAAGTGAAAAACCGCAAAGTAGGACTATTAGTACAAGTAGTACTTATTTTTAATTTATATATTTTTATTTTTATTTTTTCTTCTTTCGGCTGCTCCCTTTTAGGGGTCGCCACAGCGAACTAAGTCGCACAAAGACATGGCAGTTATTTTTACACAGGATGCCCTTCCTGACGCAACCACAGCCCTGTGTGTGGAGCAGAGAGCTGCTATCTAGGACACCTGGAGGAGCAGATGGTGGGGGTTAAGGGCCTTGCTCAAGGGCCCAAAGTGGGACGAATGAGGGTGGGGGAAGGTGTGGGTGCTTCATCTACCCCACCCACATTTTTTATGTTGTCGGTACCGAGGCTTGAACCCCATTATATATATATATATATATATATATATATATATATATATATATATATATATATATATATATATATA